CTTGGTGCTCAGTTGTACAGAAGTGAGGAAATCCTGATTAAGCTGAACTATGGGTGAACATGTTCATTCATGTTACAAGTTCCAACAGTTAAAGCTAGTGTATTATAATGCATCTGCTACAGGAAGCTTTCTTAAAACTGCATGACTGGAAAGTGGTATGTGATCATACAAATTATAGCACATTTGGGATGTGTGTGCATAGGGGCAAGTATAACAGTTGCATGTTTGAGAATTTAGAAAGATCTGCAGGAAATATGATAGGGTTGTATTGCAGGAGATCATGCTAGAAGCTTCCATGTGCTCAAAGAGCAGCTGTAATTCCCTGATGCCGATGTATGTGGCTGCTGGCCTGCAGCACAGGCAGGGTGGGTCTGCTGAGCATTAGCAGATCAGCAGCAGACAGCTTGATGATCGGAGGTAAATCTGCTGCCCCTCCTTTTCCCCCTTCGAAATGGGTTTTGCTGCCCTGGTGGGGAGGTCGGATTTGCAGTGCAGGGTGTTGGGAGCCCAAGGAGAGGCCTCCTTCTCCAGCTGGAGCTGCTGGATCTGCCCAGGAAGGAGGTACCAGAAGGGGCTTCTGGCTCTTGGGATTGTGCTGGAAAAATATAGGAAAGAAACTCAGTTTCCCTGGGATAAAATAAATAAATAAATGATAAATAAATAAATAAATAAATGATTGGGGCGAAGGGCATCCGAGGGCAGGAAACATTAGGGCACTGAGGTCCCTGCTCTGCTTTTGTACAGTGAGGGGAGGTGGTAACTGCAGCAGGCCCAGCCTCTGCAGGTCTCATTTTGGGTTATTTCAAGTCTCCGCAGCTAAGTCTTTCAGGAATTGTGGGATGAGGATATGAAGGGGTGCTCATTTTAAACTGTTCAACCTCAGCTATTTGTTAATATAATTATTTATATTAACAAATAATTGTTCAGTAATGTTAAAACTTTCTCCCTGATTATGAACGGGTGACAGTCCCTTGTCCCCTTGGCAGTATTGAGGTTTACTGTTCTTCTCCCTTTCAAATACATAGCAGTGTTTTTTCTTCAAGATTTGTCTTTTTGGAACCCTTGATTTCATTTGTTTCAGTATAGAAGTCAAACTTGCCTAAATGCACTCTTGACTTGCTAGAAACCACTTATTAAATAAATTAAAATATACAGCAAAGTGCACAGCTTTGTAGGTGGCTAAAATAAGTCCAACTGCCTGCATTTTATGGTTTCATTAATAAATTCTGCTTATTATTATCTGGAAGTGGAGGACTAACAAGATAGCTGGAGCGTAGGGCGCGTGTCCTGTGAATAAAGTTCGAAGAAGCTGGACTTGGTTAGGCTGGCAAAAAAGGAAGCTAAAGATATAGTACCTGCCTAAGACCATCTGAAGGATGATTAAGAAGATAAAAGAGACAAAGTCTTCCTTGTAGTGGCAGCTTGGGTTCATGTGGGAGGTGAGGGTGGTGTGGCCCCGGGACAGGTCTCTGGAGAGTCGAGGGATCTCCATTCTTTGGAACTTTTTGCTATTAATGTAGCAAGAGAGAAAACAAAAGTTACCCTGTTGGCAGAAGACAAACTTTAAAGTGGAACAGTGTTTTCTGGGAAGTATTTTTTTGTAGGCTCTTACCCTCTAAGTGAAATAGCTGCAAGTGAAATCCAAGTCTGTGCAAGTCCTTTGAGGTAAATGGTTTTCATGTTTATTCGTGGCCGCTCTGTGTTCACCTGGATTTACAAGCAGCAAACTACAGCAGAGTTGGACCTTGGCGGAGCAACAGAGGAGACTAGGAAAGGGCCTCCCGCAGCAGCAGCATCTCCCGTGGGTGCTGCTGCTGCTTCCTTCTGTTGCAGTGCAAGGACACAGAAAGGCGAGGGAGGACAGTGGGGTCCTCGTGTGAGCACAGGCTCTGTGGTGTCTGTATGTTGATCCTTCTGGAGGGAGGAACCTGATCATCTTTAATACCCAGGGAGCAGCTGAGGAGGAACTTTGCTGGTCCTGCCCCACATCCCGGCCCCAGGACGCCCAAGCTGTGGGGAGTGAACTGAGTGATGAAAGGTGCTGCAGCACTAGTGTGTGCAGAGGGAGAGCTTGGGAGAGAGCTGGGCCATGCATTGGCCTTTCTTGCTTTCACTGCTTGCTAGCTCATCTTTGCCAGAAGAATCATTGCTATCTTTTGCTTCCTGCCCTTGCTTCTCTGCAGACCACAGTCTCTGCTCCATCCTGCTCTGCTGGGAGGGAATCAGCTCTAACGTTGTCTCTCTTTTTAATGTTTATTTCCTCTCTTTTTTCCTTTGCTTGTCCCGGCTGTGGCTTTTCTCGGGGGCTGGGTACAGATGGATCTTTGTGATACAGACAGCGATGAGGAGATTCTGGAGAGGATACTAGAGCTCCCGCTTCAGAAGAACCACAGCAAAAAATTGTTTAGCATCCCAGAAGTGACTGAGGATGAGGAAGAAGATGAAGATGAGAAGTGTGTTCTGGAGGAAAAGGCAGAGCGTCAAAAACCCGTGGAAAGACCTACTCACCATGCAGGAGAGACGGAGAAGCTGCTTGACATCCAGAAGCCATTTCCGAAGCCAGATGGCAGTGAAAACTCCCCGGCTCTGCCTGCTCAGGCTCTGCAGGAGGAACGTGCTGTTACGGAGAGCAGAGGGGATGCCGACCAAGAGAATCCGGCCTTTGGGCAGCTCGCCTGGAATCCGAAAAGGCCAAACTGGACCTGGGCCTACCAGGAGAGCAATCTGAAGTCTGTGAGTGGGGCAAGTCCCTGTTGGAGCAAGAAGAAGGGAAATAATCACAGAGAGAGGAGCCGGAGTCGGCCTGAGATGGGTAGGAAGAGACAGAATGATTTCACAGAGCACTGCAGTCGTCTGGGCAACTGCAGCCAGATGGGGAGCGGGTTGTACAGAGCTCCTAGCCTCAGGGAAGATCTGCACATTGTGAGCAGTGCTGGTGGCAAGGAGGGCTTCGATGCCTACAGTCGTGCCAGACAAGGCGCCTCACGGAACAAGCCCAGGAAGGCGGCGGTTTCAGGGCTTGCAGAAGCTCCTGTGGTGGCAGCGCGCTGCTCCAGCCCCAAGAGCCTGGAGATAGATATTGAGTATGACTCAGAAGATGATCAGGATTCAGTCTGCGCATCCCCGCCGGAGAGCAGGCCATGGCCAGATGGCAGAGCAGAAGGATCCCAAAGCTGCCAGGGGGAGTGGAGTGATTGTTCCAGTCGGTCTGAGGCTGCCCACATTGGTGGCAGAAGGGACCTGACCAGACGGGAGATGGTTGAAGAACAGGGTATGGAGTGGGCTGGGTCTCCGAGCAGTCGCCTGCGATTCCTCTGCCAGGATAAGGAAGTGCTGAGGTGTGAGAGCAGCTCTGAGGAGCAGGGCTGGGAGTTGGACTGTAAGTCACCTGGCCGGAGAAGGAGGCTTGAACATCCTTGGAAGGGGATACGTAGCACCTCCTTGCACAAAAGGGTTGGGTGACTTTTCCTATTCTGGCTTTGAAGCAGCTTGTAGTGGCATTAGCTTTCCTTCTGCTTCCCCAGCCTGCCTGTATCTTGCTTTGTTCAGTGTTGTTCAGAGAAAGGACTGTCCTCTAGGATTGTCCAGAAGAATACCTGGGAGAATCCGTAGTTCTGTGCTGCTCTGTGGCTTTTCTCGTATGAGCTGCTTCTGCTTTTCCTGCTAAAAGGCCGAGCGTCACCGATGCAGTATTCCTTTTCACATTGGGTCTTCCTCCCTATGGCAGGAGGCTGTGGTGCCCAAATGAAAACTCCTAGTGAAGTAAACTGATTTGTGAAAGCTCTATGTGGACAATGACTGTAATGTCATTGCCTCCCCTTGGAATTCCCCTTTCCTGATTCCTCATGCTCATCACTGGTTTCTGGCAGGGTGCCTGCTTGTATTTGTTTGAGTTTGCTTTCCGACTCCCGTGGTGTTTTCAGCTCTAGAGTGTCCCTGAAGAGGAATGTTGCATTTGGATGCACTGCTCTTTTGTGGAGTGCGTTTGGGCTGAGCGGTGTTCACCTGAGTCAGAAGGCAGAGGCTGCTACTAACTCTCTGGTTCCTGTTACAGGCTTCTGGTCATAAAGATCCTAGGGGCCAGGAGCTGCCCGGCTCAGCCGCCTGGCAGGCTCCCAGCAGAAGGAGGAACAGGAGCATAAGAAGAAGCCAAACGCAGAAGCCTTTGCTCTCTAGTCCAGGTAAATGGGCAAAGGGGACAGAGTCAGACAGCAGGAGAAAGGAAGGCTGTTGGAAATTTTGTGAGAGAGGCTCATAGGCAAGTAAAGGATAACTGGGCAATGGTGTTCATATTCTCTGGTGTATCCCTGCCTGCACACAGGTCCTCCAAGGATCGTGGCTTCAGAAACTGCTGTCGAAGATGATGCCATTAGGATATTTGTGGCCCTCTTTGACTATGATCCTGTTTCTATGTCTCCTAATCCTGATGCGGCAGAAGAGGAACTCCCGTTTAAGGAGGGTCAGATCCTGAAGGTAAGAACACACCTTGGTGAACATCATCTGTGTCTCTGTGCACCATCTCATGCTCCAGGGACAGATGAGACTTGGATGCAGAACTCCTTTATTTGGGGAGTTTCCTTAGCTTCCATGTTCTATTCTTTTTCTTCCACACTTGGTCCTTGTAGCTAAACTGGTCTCTGGCCTTTCTTTTTCCTTGCAGGTGTGTGGAGACAAGGATGCTGATGGCTTTTACAGGGGCGAATGTGCAGGAAGGGAAGGGTACATCCCCTGTAACATGGTATCTGAAGTCCAGGTGGAGAATAGTGAAGTCAAGAAGCAGCTCTTAAAGCAAGGGTTCATTTCTGCTGACACGCCGATGGAGAGTGTAGGTACTGTATCTCCTTTGCATGCGTGCTGTGCTCCTGCCAGCACGTTTCTTCCCTGAAATGAGGAAAAGCTCAGCAGTGCTGTCAAGCTGTGTGCTTTTACTTTGTGGCTATGTGATTTCTGGTTGATTTGTGTCCCTCACCAGCTCTAGTGTCTTAGGAAGAAGTTTTGAATGAGGCTTTTTCCACACTTGAGTTGTCTCTCCTGTGTGTATCCAACAGTGCCCACTGGTGGCTAGATGCCTGTGGTGGCCCTTGCCCTGGGGAAACATGAAAGGCTGTCTGTACCTTGCCCTGCTGCTTGTTCTCAGAAGCATAAAGGAGTTTAATAGCTCTGAGACTTCATGAAATGTAGTGGATTTGAAACTTATCAGGAGGTTTGATGATGAAAAGACATATGTGGATGCGAATGCCCCAAAAGCCCTAGTTTCCTAGGGCAACCAGAGCCTGTGCTCCTTTCTGTTACTCCTCTGCTGCCTGCGTAGACCTGAATTACAGTCTGGTAACCAGGGGTGCTGTAGAGGAGTTGGTCTGGAGATGCTTTCTTCTCCTTCTTCATGAACTTCAGCTTTCAGCCATTTTTCTGTAGAGCTCTACAGTGTGCAAGAGCAATGAGTTATGAGCCAGGGGCAGTTCATGGTGCTTTGCAGCAGAGGAAGGGGGAAATTAAATTGAAATTCAATTATTCCAGTGTTTTATGAATTGAAACAGAAATGTTTTGACTGGAGCAGATCTCTTTCTGTGAGGATTATTAAGTATTGGAATAAAGACCAAAGAAGGGGGAGAATTTCTGTCCATGGAGCTTTTCAGGACCCAACTGGCCAAACCCCTCTGTAACCTGGTCTGAAGTCAATATTGATTCTGCTCTGTGCCAAAGCTTGAATTAGAGACCTCCCAAGGGCCTTTCCCACCTGAGTGATTTGATAGGGCATGTTCCACCTGGCATTTTTCAGGTGTCGATGGTATAAGGTTTAATTTTAGCCTTATGCTTCTGAGAGATAAAATGCAGGGAAGTAAGCAAACTGTCTGATGGACGCTGTGGTATTATTGATGGGCATAAACATAATGTGAATTTCTGTGTATTAGGATGTGGATCGTTCCACATCTGAGTCCCCATATGAAAAATGGAGATTTGGCCTTTGCCACAGTGTCTGCTTCCCAGGGGAAGCATGTCCTGCTACTCTGTTGCCTGTTCACTCTTCAAGAGGCTTTTCGCATTCCGTTCACTGTCTGTTTCTCTTGTCTATTTATTTGCTTTTTTTGGATTTTATTAAGGAAATGGCACATTTTCTCCACCTCCACGCCGCCAAACCGTCCCTCCTCCAAAACCCAGACGCTCCAAGAAAGGTCTGTGTCACCCTCTGCTTCCTCTTTGATTCTTGCAGTAGGATTGCAGACTGCATTGGATTTTTACTACTTGCTTCCAGGGCCCTCAGATGTTTGTGTCTGTACAACTGCTAGGAAGTGGAAGGAGAGCCCATCCCTTTTGGTCAAGCTGCATTGCTCCATGCTACAAACCTGGCTCCAGTGTTAGAAGTTTTTAGGGATAACGACATCTTTTTTTTGTAATTTTGGAGCTTGACCTCTCCTTCCTATTAGGTCCCTAAGTCATGGTAACCAGCGTAGACTTTGAGTTGCATGAATGGTTGATGTTTGTTGTTTGCTACTTTGGTCTTTGTTGTTTTTATTGTTGCTTCTCACTTGTCTGATGCATACGTTGTTGAAAGATGAGCTGTGTGTTCACTGACTATGTGTTTTCTTCCCCTAACAGAACTGAATAAACAGGAGAAGTACAAGTCTCATCCAGGTGAGAATTGCTCCTTGCTGTTTGGGAAAGGCGTGTTGCATTGACATGATCATAATACACACAAGTACTTTGTGGTCCTGGACTGAGGCTAAGGGCCAAGGCAAGACCCTGTAGTCCTTTAAAGCATTGTAAGATAAAGAGGAGTTTGGGCTTGTGCAATTTAGCAGGGGGTGCTGTGGCTTTTGACTAAGCTGGGAGTATTTGAAGATGGAGGTCTTGCTGTGGAGGACCAGGGAGATCTCTTGCTGATCTGGTGCCATAGTCCTTGAAACCCAAGGTCTCTTACAGGGTGGGATGGAAGGTTTTTTTTTTTTTT